TATTCCTCTACTGGAGGAAGGGGAGTGCCTGGAAAGCTCTTGTGGGATGCTGGAATAATAATCTGCATCTTCATGTGAAAGATGATCAAACAGATACAGTTATTTTGTGAACACTTTTGATTTGTGTACTTTTCTGTATGTATATGTTTTCTTCCTATAACAGTCTGGGACAACAAAATGATACAAAATGATCCCCAGAAACCACAACAGCAAAAAGCTTCGTATGATACTTAGAAAATTCACAATGATCACAACTCAGAGAGAACTCAAAAGCTGAAGATCTAATCCTGCCCTATATAAAAAATGTTATGTGCAAATGGTTTATTTGGGGTTTCTCATGTATTATCATTTATATCCTGAAGACATTGGTATTCCCTATGAATGTGTATTTCTATTCTTGAATATATTTGACTCCTTAAATCATCTTGCTAAATGTAGAGTTCCCCCTATTTACTTCCCACAGATGCCATTTTTTATGGCATCTGTTGTTGGAATGAAGTAACATCTACCTCTGGGTACAGTCTGGCCTGGTGGGGGAAGGCTGTGTCCGTGCCTATGGCTTTCTCCTCCTAACACAGGGTCTGTGTGGACTCCTCCTATCAGCCCCTCTGATTCTGATGCACCAAAACTGGCAAACTCCTTTGATATATGTGGTATTATAATATTCTTTGTCTTCTGTCAGAGACATTAACTTTTAGAAATAAAAAGCCATTGTTCAGAGTGAACATATAAGCATCTACATATTTATGTACCACACTTTGGGTTTCTGTGTTTTAGACTTTGACATTCAGTGGCTTTGCACACAATTTTATTTTTTTTGTAGCATTAGCTTTAATCCCCACTTGATGTGGGGAATGACAGTTTGGTGCATAATTTTAAACACCTTGAGTTTAGAAGAAAGTTTAAACAAGTAATAAGCCTCTACAAATAACAAGTAATAAAACTATATTCCACGGGATAAGTTTGTCAATATTTACTTCCCGTTGATTAGTAACTAGCACCCAAAAGGCGATTTTGACTCTGGGTTATGTTTGTGTGTGTTCTTGCAGGTGGAATGTTCTCATGGATTATTGCTACACAACCCCATCAGGGAACCCCAATGATGACATTCGATACGATCTCTTCCTTAGGTAAGGGTCTAAATCCTGTATTGATACCACAGACCTAACTGTGGATAATTGAAATGGGCAATTTAAATCGAATAAACAAATTATAGGGTACTGTTATAGCCTTCGAATTTCAAGTTTTACCTTTTGAAGTTACAGTCCTTTTAAAGCTGAAGGTATAAAAGTTGAGAATAGTTGCTGATAAGGCTATTGTTGAATGAGAGTTGTAAGTTAGGTCCACCAAACATGTTTTATTCATGTTCAGGAGATATGGGAATATTTCACTGTCCTAGGGAGAGCATGGTTAGGATATTATTTGCAAAAAGAGAAAGGCAATGGGAGGTTACTATTTATCTGCAGCTAGACCCTCTCATTGTATGTCACAGGAGAGTAAAGTTAAAGTAATGGTGTGGCTAATTTACACCTCCAAATACTTCTGTTCATTTATCAGTATTTAATATGAAACTATGATATAGCCTACCACTCCTTTTCTATTAGAGTCAATAACTTCAACTTCATTCCCCAACAGACAGTGATAGAGTGAATGTAATCTACATTTGGGGAAGGGGGACATTGATCATAAAAGCATTCAATCATCCCAGTTCCTTTTCAGCATTTTTATTTGACAGCAGAACAGAGTTGAGAGTCAAGCAATGTCTTCTTATCATGCTTATAAAATGCAGTTGGCTCAGATCACTGAAGCTTATTGACACATGATGGGAGTAATGTAATGGGAAACGGAGAGAATGTGCTTTATTGGCTAATCAAGGTTAAGAAGATGTTCAGAGGGTCTGATCAAACTGACACTCTTCTATATCCTATTGCTGGAAGTGTTAATGTAGACAACATTTTTGGGAAAAAATGTCAGCATGTATCGAAAGCCTTAGAAGATCTCACATTCTTTTACTCTAGTTTTACAAATTGGGAAGTGTATTTTTAAAATATTTATGATGTTCCAGTCTATCAGTGATATTTAAAATAGCAAAACATGGGAACAAATGGCATAGTCAGCAATAAAAGAACGGCAAGGTGAATTATGGTGAACCAGTGAGTTGAGAGTTCACACAAGCTTTGCAATGAGTGAAGTTATTTCTTAAATGGAAAAAAAAGTTTGGCTCTAATTTACCTTCTCTCTTTTGATCTTCTTAGAATTTCTATCCTCAAAAATATGCAATTCTTTAAAATTTAGATGCATCAGAATATGCAGGAAAAGGACCAGCATATACAATTGCATATATATAACAAACTTCATTATATGATGGAAAGATTGTAGGGAGGCTCATGGCAGTTATGGATACATGGCAGGGCTATGGGTCATTTTGTTTTGGCATTTTTTTATTTCCCCAAACTTCTACAGGTTAAATCACCACAGATTAATAATCTGGAGCACAATCATCAAGGTTGTAGTATGAACATGGTAGCAGTTTAATTCTGAAAACTTTTCAGTATGTCATTGGAAACTATAGAGAGAAAAATGGATACTTACAAAAAAGTTTCCTAATTTTTTTCTCCTTTTAGTGAACCTAGAAGAAAAAGAAAACCTAAGTATTCTAAAATAAGTCTTAGTACTGGTAGAAGTAGTTAACATCAGGTGGAAATGGTGCAGGAAGCAGTGTAGGGAGGGGACAAGGTAAGTAGGGAAGAAAAGTAGGTGCTGAGGGTGGCAGGTCCCGGATCCAGCCAGGAGGAGTGTACGCCTGGAAGGAGAGGGCACCACTCTGAGAGGAAGCACAGCTGAGATCCAACAGCCACCAGGGGCCAGCGATCTGCAGAGTGAAGGGGAGTGGCGGCACCTGGGAAGGAGGAGACCTCCCAAAGTAGCAGCAAAGTGCACCTGTGGGTGAAGGCATTGCCTGGGATGACAGGGCCTTCTCTTAGCTAGGTAAGATAGGCTAGGGAACAAACCTGAAGAACTCAGGGCTGACGGTGGAATCTTTGTGAATATGTAAGTTCACAGAGGTGAAGAAAACTCGGGTACACAGTGCCATATTCAAGGAAAACTGTCTGTCGTTATAGAACAGAGGAGGGAGCTCTTGAGTTGAGGAAACCTTTGAGTGAAGTCATTACCATTCCACACTGCCTTAGGAGTCTGCTGAAAATAATAGGTCTAGGGAAATCCAGCTCTCAAATATGAATGATAAACAAATGCAGGCATTGCTTGCAGTGCTGCAATATGCCACAAGAAAAACGTTGAAAATTGCAGAAAAGAAATTGTAAAGATGAATTGAACTCGCCAGAAAGTTGTTACCTTGGAACAGATAAAATTTGTAATTAAACACTCCAATATTATTTTTTTAAAAATTGAAAAACAATCATAGCTATGAAGATAGAATTATAAGACCTCAGATAAAGGATAGGACCTCAAAGGTAGTAAGGCTATGAGAATATGAACAGGGAACTGGGGGAAAGGGTAAAAATACAGAGAAATAGAACACATCAATGCATGACAGGAAGGGACACGCAACTGGAGGGCATTCGAGGGGGTGCAGACACGTAGGGACAGAGGGGGTAAATATGAGAAATGCAAATTAAAAGAAGTAAATAAAAAGATAAAATGGATTGATTTGGAAAGATAGAAATGAAAGGTAAAGGGAGTTCAGTACATGTAATTACGTGTATAATTAGAATCCCCTCAAATGAAGCCAGTATAATGGAATAAATGTTTAAAAATATTATCCAGGAATGCTTTTCTAAATTAAAAAAAAAAAAAAACAAAGCCTGACATCAACATAATGAAAAGATGACCTGGATGACATTGAAGCTTTTATAAAGTGGAAACAAGGGGAAATATAAGAAGGTACAGTCAGAAATACAATAAAAACCGGAGCCCTTACCTGTCAGGAAACTTAATTCTGGGGGCTAACAATTAAATAAGGACACAGAAGATCTAAACGACACAAGCAATGAGCCATACAGTAAGAGGCAGCAATTTATAACAGTATCAGGAAAGAGAAAGTCCTCACCACCTGGAAGTCGTAGAACCCATAAATAACACTTAGATCAGATGTGAAGATATGAACCAGTATTTTGCAATAAATTAAGAAATAATTGTTTCTTTGAAAACATAGAGAACCACAACGTAAACAAATCAAGAAAAAAGGACAAACAACAAATACAATCATGGAATCAAGATGGAAATAGGAGAATAGAGTCCTCCCAGGTATCACAGATAATAAAAACTCGGCACTTATTATAGAGATGGGATATTATGCAAAATTAGACACCAAGACAAAAGTTACAGAACAGTAAGTTGAGAAATAAGATTCCAAAACATATGGGAATTTAGTATATGGATGCTAGAGGATGAGTCCCCAGATCAGTGGGATAAATGGATTTTTAAAAATAGTACTGGTCATTGATAACTATAGGAGAAAAAAATAGTATCGGATCTTAATACACCATAATAAACTCTAAATAGAATATCAAACTAAAAGTAGAATATCAAGCTAAGTTCTATCACAACTATATACAAATAAAACTTCTGTGTACACATGTGTGTGCATACCTGCACACACATACAAGTCCAAAGCCAATTTGCAATTTGTATAACAAATCAGTAGCCATTCTGCCTAATATGTAAAAAACTCCTAAGAATTAGAAAGAAAAAGGCCAACAATACAATAGAATCTGGACAAAGGACATAAACAATTTTCAGTCAACCCCCTACAAATGTCTGTAATGTATGTGAAAAGGTACAAACCCTTATTAATACTCAGAAAATTATAAACTCAAATTATATGATGGAAGTTTCTTTTTTCTGTTAAATAAGGAATAATACAAAGTTCTAGTCACTTACTCTGCTGATGTAGCTCTGGAGATATCAGAATTGTTTTCATATATCACTGGTTAAGTCTAAATGGTAGGCTTAAATCTATAAATGGCAATGTGGCAGCATCTATTAAATGATTCTAGAGATATATTTTACGGATAACACTTTACATGCTCAAAATGATGTATTACAAGACTATTCATTATGCTGGGTTTTTAAAGAGCAAAAGATTTGAAACAATACAAGTGTATATATAAGGGGGGAACTGATTAAATGTAACTGTGCATGTGTGATGATGGAGTGCATTATAGCTGTGGAAAAGAATGGGGAAGATTTCTAAATATTCATATGGAAAGATCACTAAGATACATGGTTGAATCTTAAAAGGGCAAGGAACATAACAATGTATACAGTATCATTTGCTTAAGGCTGGGGAACAGTAAAAGTATATTGCTTCTGTTTCTATTTTCATATACCCCTGGAGGATATAAAAATAAGTGAGATCACCTCTGGCAGGTTTGAATGTGATGATGGAATTTTGTGAACAAAGGAAAAATTGAGAGGGAGACTTTTCACTATATATATAATTTGGATGTTTGAATCATATGGAAGTATAATTCCCAAAGTATAAAATTTGACAGTAATATTGCAACTAATCTGTTTACATTTTATGTTTCAGGTTATTGTCATAGCTGCTGAATTACCTTGTGCTCTTATTCAATATCTACAATGTGGCATGGTTCTTTATCTCTTAAAGTAACGGGGTACCCTTAATAATGTAGAAATTAATCTATAAGCCACTGTAGGTTGGTACTTTCCAGTGATGACCTGTTTTCACATTTCCTGCAATGTAGCTGTGATAAAGATCCTCAGACCACCGTCATTGAAAATGGCCGAAGCCAGCGAGGCCGGTTTTCATTCGAAGTGTTCCGATTCGTGAAACATAAGAATCAGAAAATGTCCACGGTCTTCCTGCACTGTGTTACCAAGCTCTGCAGAGCTGATGATTGCCCCTTCCTTATGCCGGTATGTTTTTCAGCAACTTTATTCCAAACTATTGAATTGATCTGAACTGAGAAGTTATCAAACATCAAGAACTAATTTCTATATAGAAAGTGGACACGCATTAGGTCTAAACAGTTTGACGCAGGACTTATTCATACATCCAGTAAAAAGCTACTGAATGCTTACTTTGTGTTAAGCATTATGGGGATATGGAGATGAAGCATGTATGAATTTTGAATTCAATCAGCTTATCCTTTGGGATGATGAGACAGTCATGGACAAAAATCAGGATGAAGATCTTGTGTAAAAGCAAACCTATGGGTTGTAGTGGGAGGCAGTATTCATCATCCTGAGAGAGATGGAGCAGGAGAGGTTGGGAGGATTGGTGGAGAACTCCAACTGTGTGACAGATGAACCCCAAAAGGGTGAAAGTGAGAGCATGAGAGACACCTCATACCAAGGATGATCATAAGTCCCAGACACATAAACCAGTATGATCAGGGAACTTCTAGTCCTTCAGTAAAGTTGTGGAGCAGGGCAGAGTATGATGGGAAGATGTCAGGAGGGGGCTGGGCTGGTGCTAAAAAGGGAAACTAGGCCCAGATGGCCCAGGAATCCCTTGTATTAAACGTAAAAAGCTATGAAAAGTGTGGATCTGAATTGCATACAACCAGCATTAAAATACAGATTCATTTAGTAGGGAATAAAAAACAGTTTTATTCTGACAGGTTCCTTACGGTCACATCAACATTACCCTGAGAAAAATGCAGGCAATTAAAAAAAAATTGAAATAGTCTTAATATGTTTCTATTTATGCTCAATTCATGCATAAATGGGAAGCTATTTGTTCACAACCATTGACCTCTCTGGTCTAACCAACTGTATTAGATGGGGGTAAATGGAGAGTCCTTATTACCTTGGGTCTGTGCTGATCAACATTTCCAGGAAGGATTTATTAAAGGCTTGAGAGAAATAAAAGTAGAGAAGTTTGATAAACACAGCTCTTTTTCAGGAGAGCCATTGAGCTATGTAAATTAATGAGGCAGTGCACAATTACAGCGGGAGGAAATAAGAAATGTGGTCCAAGCCAGGGTAAGAAACACTGTAGCAGTTATATGCAAAGTAATTAAATAAATGCACAGAAGGAAATGAATAAAATTAAACATGTGGTATCTCTTCCAAAAGAATCTGCTTTCCAAATGGCCATAAAGAAACGATTTTGTGCCGGTGTGGAAATTCATTTGTTTTCATTAACACCTCAGATTTGCGGGCCCAGAGAACGGAGAGATGCGGGGAAGAGGACAACTGGGAGCCCCCAGGGTGCTTCTGGAAGCGCAGTCCTCTCTGCCGGTCCCATCATCACTCGGAGCGGTAAGAGTGTGCCTTCGTCTTCTGTGTGTAGCAATAGAAGGCTCCAAAATGCTTCCTTGCCTGGCTTCTAGCGAGAACTAAAGTGGTTCCTAAACAGCCCTAATTAACTGAGACAAGACAAACTGCTAAGGAACTTTCATTTCACAGCAGTTTTCCTGTTTACTCAACTTTCACACAAAGGGCGATATCATCGGTATCATATTTCCCTTTACACTCCCACGCGCTCACGCGTACCACGCCGGACAGGTGTCATTATCCCGCAGACCCGCCCTCCCCGCCCCTGCCCTGCGCTATGCACCGCTGCCTCCCGCACTATCTAGTTTCTGATTGGCCTTGACCAATAGATGGCGCTGTCCCAGATGGGCGGGCACAGAAAACGTGAAGTCCAGGGTGCCAGACAACTCTCTGCCTGACAAACACTGCTAAAACCCCGTCCTTAAACCGTGGCTGGGAAATTTGACTTTCATAACTTTCCTAATTTTTGTAAATAGTCCAACATTCCTTACACTGTCAAGTTCGAGTCCCATTTGCTTCCTTCCAGCATACTGCATGTTACACACCCCCATCCAGTGCATTCATGCTCATGGGTTTGTGGGATCCAAACGTGTACTTACACACATACATACTCATGTATATAAACATTTATGACCGCAAGTGCATGCACACACATCCACACACGTGCTCTACGAAGGGATATAGATTTAAGTCAGCGTGGACTCAGAAACATGTAGAGTCAATTACAGAAAACAGTCACGGAATGTGAACAACCCTGCAGCTGAAGTTGGGAAACTGGGTCTTAGGTTTAGCTTTTGCTTCCCAAGGTATGTGACTTGTGATTTACTTCATTTCTCTGGGCAAATGTTGCTTCATTTTTTAAGTGAAAGGTTTAAAAAACATAGCCTTTAAGATTCTAACTTTGCAGTTCTAAATTTGTCTCAAAAAAGAGAATAATTTGGATTACGTGCTAATAATATTTTTCTCTAGTTCATATAATCCTGAAGGCTGTAATTATGTATCAATTAGATTTTCTGTACTTTTTCTCTTTTGCTGCTTATCCCATAGTGAAAAAAGAGTTTTGCTTGAAATAGGTAAATAATTAAGTAAAAAGTAGTTTGGGCCTGAAAAATCTAGACAATTACTATATTTAGTAACTTCCCAGTGTTTGTGTGGATGTAGCATCATTTAAAAACAAACTAATAGACCTTTCAAATAATGCAGAAATTTATTAAATATGAAATTTCAAACTTAGTCTGTCTTCCTTGAGGACTTTGAGTATGTGCTTTAGATGGCTTGAAATGACGGGTTTGTAGTTTGTGAAAGGCCCAGTTTGTATCTCTTTCTAGCTGTCAGAAGTCCTTCATAGAATTACATTGAATGGAAACTCAGTTCTTGTTGCCAACAATTTGGGGTGCTTTTGGGCAGCACAACAAAAAATATTTCTATGGAACACACCTAGAGACAGTTTACTATATAAAAAAAAAAGAACCCCAAATGGGACATTTCCTCTGTCCTTCTTGGGTAGATGGGTTTTCCTTCTTAATAACCTCCTTGCTTCCTTCGTGCCTGGTCAAACTAAATATTGCCACGTTTAAATTAATTGTTTGTGTAAGGTAATCTTTACAAAGACAAAGAAAAGTTTCTAAGATCCCCATATCCCAGCAAATATTGCCAAGTAGAAGTCTCTAATTCTAACATAACTAACCAGCTTTCTAGGTTTATAGGTTTCACCTATTCCATGTCCAGTTGCTCCAAATCCCTATGCTGAAAACTCAAAGAGCTCATACAGTGCCTCTGATGTCTTGCCTGCATTTCATTCTTCCCCATTTTCAATCTGTTCACAAGGATGACTTATTCTTCACCATACTAGGGTTATCCATGCCTTCTCAGGTCTCTCTCCTGGCAAAGCTCCCATATTCAAACCTTCCATATGCCCTTGAATCCTCTCTCACTCTTTCTGGATTTAATTTTTTATAACTTTGATAAATAACAGTAGGATGATCTTCACATTTTGGTGATCATGGGGGCCTCACTTGCTTAAAGAACCCTAACAGGAGAGCCCAGCCACTGCCCATGGCTAGTTATGAATACTTAATTAAGAATTGTTTTGGGCCGGGGCAGTGCCTATGGCTCAGTGGGTAGGGCTCCAGCCCCATATATCAAGGGTGGAAGGTTCAAATTCAGCCCTGGCCAAACTGCAACAAAAAATAGCCAAGTGTTGTGGTGGACACCTATAGCCCCAGGTACCTGGGAGGCTGAGGCAAGGGAATTGCCTAAGCCCAAGAGTTGGAGGTTGCTGTGAGCTGTGATGCCACAGCGCTCTACTGAGGGTGACAAAGTGAGACTCTGTCTTTAAAACAAAAAAGTCTTGGGCCACACATTAAATATACAGACACTAAGAAAGTGAGTGAGCAAAAAGAAAAAAAAGTCCATATGTAATTTTTGTGATATCTGCCACCACAGATAAGCATTCTTAACCAGCCACAGGCTGTGGTTAGATGCCTCCGCTAATATGATATCTACGCAAACTTCATTTTTAAAATTCACATGAACACACAACTCAGAACTCAAGCCATAAACTTGCACAGGTAACTCTTGTGTAAACGTAATGTTTGGTTTAATGACCAGGGCTTTCCTTTTCCTTTAGTTTCACTTTATTTTTACCTTAGGTCAGTTAGAATTTATTTCTGCATGTCTTGTGGCCAATTTTATACAGAAAGTCCAATTTGGGGCTTGTTTTTCTCTCTTCAAAGCTCGCTGGTAGTTGGAAGTTTTGCTCATTGAGCCATTCTTTTCCCCTGGACAACAGCTTAGGTCAAGTATAATAAGTCGTTAAACCTCAGGACTCTTGTTATTTTAGTGAAATCCAATCCATACTGGATATTTTACCCAACATCGAGGAAAATATTCGCGTCCATAAAATGCAAAATCCTCAACATTCCTGAAAAGGTCTTATTTAATGTTTTCATGTGTTAAAACTGCTTAGGTGAGGAAATGTTTATCATAGAGTATAATTCTGGAAATTTAGAAGTACAAACACTGGAAAACAGGAGTACCTAATTGTTTTGTTTATGTAAATTCCTATGGAGAAACCCAAGCCATGCTCTGTTCAATTTCTATCAACTTGAGTTTTTATGGGTAGTTAATAATTCATTTGAACATGTTGATTTACTCCCTACCCAAGAATGGCAGTCTGCCATGGACTGGGAATGTAGGCCCTAGACTTTACCCTCAAGGATCTTAGAATTCAGAGGTAGAGGTAGCCGTTAATGAACATAACACCGTGGAAAGGAAAAAGTTTGAAGGTTTTTAACTTGGAGTATGTGATTCATGTTATTGTATAGGTTAAATATTCTTTTACAAAATAGTTTGCTTGTGCTAAGAAAGGAAAAAATCATTCTGCATATAGCTTTGCACTGATAACCATCTTCTCCATTTATTTTAATTACTTATATGAGAAAAGCAGAAAATAATTTGTGTCATTTCCGACTTTCAAATGGTTGTGGCATTGCCACTGCCACCTTTTTCCTCAACATCCTCATATATATATATTTAAAAGGCCACCAATTTAGTACTGCAATCTGTTCTAATTTGAGAAGGCCTCACATGTTTCTTTTAGCATGTAACATGTGTCAAGAACAAGCGGACTGGTGGGGAAACAAACATAAAGGGTGACAAAAGCCTCCTGGAATATGTCTGCCTCTTCTTTTAAAGCTAGACAGTGCTCTGTTTTTTGTTTTTTGTTTTGTTTTGCATTTGTTTTTGCTATGATACAAAAATTGGAGGATAGCGGAAATAGCAACCAGATAAAGTAATCCTCTCTGCCTTTACCCACTGTTAAACACAGTTCCAAACATTATTCAGATATTAAGTATTTTGATTTCAGCCATCTGCCCGAGGTAGGCTGCTTCCATTTTTCAGTGTTCTGGAACCTGGAACTCATTGTTTCGGGCTTATTTGGCAATGGAGGTGTTTTGTCCTCACACAGGGAGATTTTGTCCATAGCCAAGTCCTTACTGATGACACCTGGGATGTTGGTCCTACAAAAGTGTTGGTAATATGGGGGATGGAAGGACTATTCTGACTTTTGTTAACCTCAGGATGCCGGGAATGAGCAGGTGGCATCCCTAAACACTTTTGTCCTATCTGGGACACTTACTAGAAAGGAACTTTCAATTCTTTTTTTTTTTTTTTTCTATTGTGTGGGATTCATTGAGGGTACAAAGAATTAGGTTACAGTGATGGCATTTGTTAGGTAAAGTCTTTCTTATGATTGTGTCCCATCTCTAAACGGTGTGCCATACACCATGAACTCCATCCCTGTCCTCTTCCCCTCTCTCCGCTTTCTCATTCACCCTATGCCCCACCTTGTATTAGATCATCTACTGCCTTCATATTAGAACTGAGTATATTGGATTCTTGCTTCTCCATTGTGATGCTTTACTAAGAAGAATTCAGCCATTAAAAAAGATGGAAACTTTACATTTTTTGGATTAATTTGGATTGAGTTGGAACTTTCTATTCTTAACTAGAAACATTTTTGAAGCAGTCGCATATCAGGTCCAACGTAGGGGTATATGGCACACCTCCTGGGTGAAGGGCTCAACTGCAACTTGGACTTCACCTAACAAATGCAAAC